CACGTGTCCTCCGGGGTCACAGAGTGCCCTGGCACCCTATCCTGTAGGTGCTGGCATTGCACGCAGCGCGTGGTGCCATGTATTGCTGTCAGTCCGTGCTCCCCGAGTCCCGCTAGGGCCGGTACTGCATCCACCTTCAGTGGCATCTGCGATGTCAATACATCGCGGCAGTGCCTCTCCCAGGCCGGCTTCACAGTGACATCCAACGATGTCACTAAAAATGCAATGGTAGAGTACAAATGTTAACTGTTGAACATTGCTATTAGTGGCCTTCAGTTGTGCCGTGCCTTTCTGTATGCTCCCAAGGTGTTTTAATCATTGTTTTTTACCGCACGTTATTTTTTTAGAGAAATGTAATACTTAAATTAGGTTTAAAAACGTTTACATTTTCAGAATTTAAAAACATGTAAAATGTCGGGCGTGACTGTTCCTCTTGTTTTTAGTTCCTTTGCGAGTGATATAATTGGTCTTACCCTGACATCACTTTATTAATTTTACATGATGATGATAATGGCAGGCTTCTCTGCAAGCCGACTGCACATCCCAGCTGCTGGCTGTAATAACACACATTACATGTCGTGGTGTTTTTATTTATCGTGCAGTGTATTTCGCCTGCATAGATTAAGCCCCACATTTGATGTGAAGTAATCAGACGAAGACAAACTACACAATCATAAAATACAATAACAACGGTAAGTGTTGCAGGCCAGTCCTGCATGGCTGGACGCCGCTTTGTAATATTTTATTGTTACAACCTGGACATGGATTCCACTGCTTAGCTGGATTATCAGGAGCAAGTGAAGGTTTATTGAGATTCTAAGTGAGCGGCCATCTTTAGTTTATTTGGGACAGATTGAGAAGAAATGTATGATTAGGTCCATGGAACCAGTGCAGTTTAGCAAGGTAAAATACATGAGGATGACAGAGGATCTGTTCGGGAAGTGTTTTTTCAGGTAATTGTCAGTTCTCTCCCTTTGAAGGGGTTCAAGATTCAACTGCGGCCGGCAGCTCTGGTTATTACTGCGGCTGCAGTAACATGAAAAAATATGCACCATCTGCTTCACAGTGGATGTTAAAATGCCTGTCATTCAAAATAAATAAGCCATTCCATGCGAATGTAATTGTTAACATTTACCAAATTTGAACAAATATCCAAAGCTACCCACCTGAGATCAATCATCACCCCCTACTAGCAGACGAACATCCACTTAGACCGCTGCTCAGTCAACTCGTACGGCACAGGGACAGTTACACCATGGGAGTGGCCGTCGACTCTTTAAAATGAGATTTGATACAAGCCACTTTGAGTTGCTGAGGCAATTAAGCAAGCGCCATATAAATACAAATATTCGTATTAGTATCCCAAGGTGCATGCTATTGAGCTTCCGTGTCTCAGCCTCCTGGTTACAGGATCTACCCAACACGTATGGTCACGTATAATGGCTGCTCCTACTCTACATTATAAAAAAATGCCACCCAAACCTCCACATCGAAAGTCGGCTGGAATTTGTCCCAGGTTCCCTCACAGTCCAAGCTCTCTTCCCGCTTTCAGCTGTCTTCATTGAAGACCTGGAGATCAAACCCTGGAGTCTTCATGTCATCTTTCCTCCTGCCATGTATCCAAGCATGAATTTTCTAATGGTTCTTGCGTTGCAAGGTATGGGCTTATTGTGGAACTGGGAATTTCACACCTCGAATGCCGACTGCTCCTTGAGCTCCTTACGCGTGTTTCAGTTTCAAAACACTTCAAAGGCCTTCAAACACAGTGTGCTTGACGGGGTTTTTAATGTGTTCCCTGGCGGTTGTGAAGATTTGATGGCCGTGCAAATGTCTTACCACACAAAGTGCACCTAATGGGCTCCTCTTCTGTGCGTGTTCTCTTGTCGGTCAAGATTTGATGACCGTGCAAATGAATTCTAAGACTCAGTGCGGTCGTCACGTCCCTTGGACGAGGGGAGTTTTGCTCTTGGTGAGGTCACAAACCAGAGATAGGGAGGCGCTGACATCACCCACTCGTGACTTTGAGGTGATGTCTCCAGGAGACTTTTACATATTTAAGTAAACATTTGGTAAGCAGTGGGATATTGATGAACACGGTTATTTAAGTTTAATTTAAACATATTACAATTAAATAAATCCTAGACTAGAAGACAAATCTGTAACAAAAATCCATGATGCATTTCAAATGTGCTCTTTAAATTACGTCCTTGCGATAAAACAGATCAGCAAACACGTCTCTTTCATTTATTGGTCTCTCCACGACACAAAGAAGTGTTTTACACATACTATAAATATCAGTCTTCTGGGAGTGCATCAATGATTCAGTGCAAGCCACCTGTGGACCAGTATTGGTGTAAAATGTCTCAACAGCAGTCGGGCTTGCTTCAACTGATGGTTACGAACATCCAGATGTTAATCAGCAAGGAGCATTTCTAGTCCTAGTTCGACAACATAAAAAACACGTTGCAATGGTGCATCCTTTTGGGACATGCTTTAGCGGGTTTCGGTGTATACCCGAAACCCTAGCTAGCATCACTGTTGTTTAAATTCCGGTGGGGCCTCTATGTCACGCGACGCCCCAAATTACCGTGCGCGAAACACAACCAACACCACTGCCGGTATATTTCAAATGTATGGTGCCAACTTAGAATTTAATCTCTACAGAAAACATACAATGTTATAGGGGAACAGGCCTACTACTTCTCCAGGGGAGAGCACGCATCACAAGCCACCATACCAACACAAATGACCCTCGCAACAACACAACAACCAACACAGTCACACAACCTGACAACCACGGCCTCACCGACTTCCTCCACCACGAACGCTGGTGGAAGAAAACCGCTGAGCAAAACTCCGAAGGCACCAATGACGCACCACCCAGCTCTGGAACAGACCGAACAAAAATCCTCCAAACACCACCTCAGTGGACCAATCCCAACCACCTTGAGCCAGATCAGTAGGCAACCTTGAGCAGGATCAGTAGCGGAATGAAATCCCCCGCCCCTTCCTCTCGGTTCCCCACGGCGGGGCGTTTTATTCCCCCATTTGATCGCCACGGCGTGCCGACGAGTCCAAACCCCCGTGCCCACGAGCCAATCCAATCCCACACACCTGCAACCACTTTCACACAAAGTCCCACCCTCCCTGCTTCTCCCCAATCAAAAAAACACCCTGCTCCCCAAAGCTATCACTCTGACTGCCACACACGTATAACATTTAAGTGGTATGCCTTGTAACTGATGAATGATGTGAATGTTAAATCTAGATTTGAAGTTTTAATCTAGATTTGAAGGTTATTTTATACCTACGTGACTTTACCGAAAGAAGCAAAGAGGATGTGAATGTTCCTTATTTCAAAGACAATGACTTGTTCCAGAGGCAGATGTTTCCTGAATCACGAAAAATACCAGTTGACTCATATCACAAGAACAACAGCTCTCACGTGAGTTATCTGTACAGGTTACTTCCAAATCACACACTTTCTCCTAACAATCACGTATTCCATGTTTGACCCTTATAGACAAAATGTTACATGTGTAGTGTTGTAATTCCAGACGAATAGACTTTTTATGAGGCACACTGTTTGTCTTTCTTTCGACACGGTCCCTAACATACAAGGGGTATACGGTCCCCTTTACCCGATATCTAGGGAGGTATGGCCTCCGGACTTGGCGGGACCAACTCACGGGTTACCCGCTAACCTAACGTCCTCCGGTTGGGACCTAGGGGAGGCTAACTGACCCGGCCACTGGGTCTGTGGGTCCGGACCACTGGTTACACTGAGCCTCAGCCCTGAGAAGGGCTGCAAGGCTTGGTTCCAGGGTCCTGTCTATCCAGGACCTATTCTCCCCTGACCACTGCTTACACTGAGCCTCTACCTTTAGAAGGGCTGTAAGGCTTGGTTACAGAGTCCTATCTATCTTCAGCCCGGGCTTCGTGTGGAGAGAGAACTGAACTAGAGCTCTCAGCACTCTGGCTTTTATATAGGTTCACGGCTGGCTCCGTCCAAGCCACACCCCTTTTTGGAACCTTCTGATTGGTCCTTCCCAATCGGTCGTTCTGATCCGCTTTCACCTCTGCTTGACCCCGGGCATTTCCCCAGGGAGGTAACACTGCTGCACACCGTTGACACTCAGTGGTACTGCATGTTACTGAATGGTGAGTGGCTATCACCTCTACACATGTATGCACAAATTATAATTCCAAATTATCGATAGGCATATTGAAAAAATGTAATTACAGCACTGAAATGTACTTCATCACATTATATCGTATTTACAAGAAGTTGATCTCTGTCGGATGAGGCCTACACATGCAGTACTCAGATTGAGGGAAGCCAAGTGATAGTGCATTCTCTTTTTGTTGCAGAGGTTCAAGGTTCAAATCCGACAGGTATGCCTGGTTCGTCCAGGAAGATGAATTACAAATATGCACCGTCTTAACAGCTGATTCTAAAACACTGTCATTCAAAACGTGTATGCGATTGCATGCTGGCATTGTGGTTAAAATTTGGGAAATTTGAAACATTACCCACAAATTACACAACTGAGATTACACATCAATCATCGCCCTCTACTAACAGACTCATGACCACATGCAGGCTGGTGCAGGAACACCTTATGCCACACAGGGGCTGCTGCCACTTGGGGGTGCTTGTTGTATATAGTCTTGAAAAAAAAAGACATTTGCTTAAATGATGCTAATTTAAATTAGGCTCGGCTTCGTTATTTAGGGGTGTATTACCAATCACGATAATACAATGGAAAATGTGTAATTTTATGAAATTCTGTTAATGTATGCAATTTTGCAAACTAGGCTCAGCTTTGTTGTCTAGGGTGTATTACCAATCGTGAAAATACAATGATTCTCGCTTTCATTTTTACTGATCATGTTTTAGTGTAATTCTATCAGCTCTAAGAATTCAGATCTCACCGCAGGATACAGTTCTTATAATTAAGATTATTATGCATGAACTTAGGAAGGAACCACTCAGACTCTTATATGTTAAGCAACTTTAATATCTAAAAACACTCTAACACTTATGATCAGAATCGCCAATACCGTACTCCTGAAGATGTCCTACTCATTGATCCGTACAATTAACCGTCAATGGTTACGTTTGTTAAAACTGAGTAACACAACAATCAGCTAACTCCTCCGAGTAGAGCGACCATACACGGCGATAGGAAAAGTCCGTAAAAATTTATAATACTCATACGAAACATGCTAAAGAAACATGTGCCCAATGGCAAAAGTAGACACCAATTAATTCATTGGTAAGATTATGCAAATATCGAAATGTCCTGAAACAATAGTGTGAGTGCTAGTGTGCCTATTTGGCTAACAGATGCTTATCAATTGGCGATTGAGACATCAATGAATTTGCGGGCAAGATTCTGTGATCAAAAGAAAAATCTCAACACAATAGTATTCCTGTGAGTGTGTAGATTCGTAACATAGATGCTTATAAATGTTTAGTGTTTCATCAATTAATTCATTGGTAAGGTTATGCAATTCAACTTCACGTTATTTTTATTAAAGGCCTGTGACAAACGTGAATCTATTGAAGCTTCATTGTTTCAAGATTACACATCTACAGGGTCTCCATTTGAATTTATATTGTCTAGGAAGTCCACCCATACCTCCACTTCCACAAACTGCTGGGCGTTGCCTTGCTCTGCCTCACAGTCCGAATTCTCCTCCTGCTTCACGTTGACTCCATGAATGTGAAGGTCTGATTTTGGAGTTGAATCTTCATCTTCACATTTTACCTTCACTTCTTCGCTCTTCACCATCACTTCTTCACATTTCACCTTCACGTCTTCAAATTTCACCTTGATACATTTCATAGTGTCCAAGCTGGAATTTACTTCTGGTTCTTTTTTCAGTAGGGATGGGCTCATTGCAGCACTTTGACTTTCACAAGTCGATTTCAGACTACACTCCTTGGGGATCTTCTGATGCCTGTGTGTTCTCTGGTGTCTATGAAGATGTGCTAACTGTGAACACGCCTTCCCGCACAGCGTGCACCTGAAAGGTTTCTCTCCTGTGTGTGTTCTCTGGTGTTTTTGAAGATGTGATGACTGTGCAAATGCCTTCTCACACACACTGCACTTGAAGGGTTTGTCTCCTGTGTGTGTTCTCTGGTGTTTTTTAAGATTTGACGACAGTGAAAATGCCTTCTCACACACACTGCACTTGAAGGCTTTCTTTCCTGTGTGTATTGTCTGGTGTTCTTTAAGAACTGATGACTTTGCAAACGCTTTATCGCACAAAAGGCACCTGAAGGGTTTCTCTCCCATGTGTGTTCTCTGGTGTCGTTTAAGAAGCAATGAACCCAAAAATATTTTCTCACACACACTGCACTTGAAGGGTTTCTCTCCAGTGTGTGTTCTCTCGTGTTTTTTAAGGGCAGATGAATCTGAATATGCCTTCCCACACACACTACACCTGAAAGGTTTCTCTCCTGTGTGGATTCTCTGGTGTCTTTTAAGGGCAGATGATTCTGAAAATGCCTTCTCACACACAGTGCACTTGAAGGCTTTCTCTCCTGTGTGCGTTCTCTGATGTATTTTAAGATGTGATGACTCTGAAAATGCCTTCGCACACACAGTGCACTTGAAGGGTTTCTCTCCTGTGTGTGTTCTCTGGTGCCTCTGAAGACATGATGACTCTGTGAATGCCTTCTCACACACAGTGCACTTGAAAGGTTTCTCTCTTGTGTGTGTTCTCTTGTGTTTTTTAAGGGCAGATGAATCTGAATATGCCTTCTCACACACACTACACCTGAAAGGTTTCTCTCCTGTGTGTGTTTTCTGGTGTCTTTTAAGAACAGATGAATCTGAAAATGCCTTCCCACACGCACTACACCTGAAGGGTTTCTCTCCTGTGTGTATTCTCTGGTGTTTTTGAAGAACTGATGACCATGCAAATGCCTTTTCACACACAGTGCACTTGAAGGTTTTCTCTCCTCTTTGAGTTCTCTGGTGCCGTATCACACTTCCAGTACAATCCATGCTGTTTGCATTCTGGTCCCATTGTTGTCGCTTTTTACGGAGCTGCGCTGAGTGCCTTTGCTCCATCAGACCAATTCTGCAGAGGAAGCGTCAGCTGCACACAGAAAAAAATATACACACCATCTACGTCAGTATCGAGGCACAGAGGAATGAATATATAAACAGTCACACATGACTTACACGTTTATATTTATTGATATATTCAAGATATTCCCCAATTCATCACACGGGCTGTTAAGGCACACAATGAGAGGCCAAATGGTTAGAAATATGCCTGGAAGCCCTAGTATCTTCAAAATAAATGTTAACCCAAAACACCAAGCACACAATTTCGGCTGCCTGGCTGAAAAAGTAGTATTTATAAAAGCAAAATTCAGCTAACATAGCAAAGGCTGTTGAAAATAATACTATTTGTATTATGCAGAAATGCATAAATTAATGTTCAATCGCAACTTAGATGTGTGAAACCAGGCTCCAATTTGCTTGAATGCTCGGATGAACAGATCTAACTTCAGCTGCATATATGCTGTGTTAATTTCCTGACTGTTTCCATTCTTACAAAAAGTTGCAGAGGAAAAGTAAAATAAACTATTGTTTTGATTTAACCTCAATGTTCAATAGTTAATATAATTTACTGCAAATACAAAGGTGACACAGTGACACACTGGCATTGTACAAAGGTGGTGGTGTGTCCAGAACCATGCCTGGCCAGCTTCATCTACTCAGTATTAATGCTTCCTCACTTCACCATGTAATTAATTTAAGATCAATCAACATAGCAGAGGCCCACAATAAGTTCAGCTTTCACTTATCAATCATGTTTGCTGTCAGCGATAATCAAACTAATTGCTGAGTTCATAAGTCAGTGAAATAAGTGCACCACAGCTCCCAACAAAGATAAACTCTTAAATACACGTACATTTCACATGCATCATTAACATATATAAACAAAACATCCACCATTCATGACGAATTGCAAGTAAACTTATCCCAGTGCTAATGCCATGATAGATGCAATTTAAGTCCATGTAAGTGTGGATTCCTTGTCGGCAGGTAATGATCCAGGTGTAAAGGGAAGACTGACAGATGAACCAGCTGTGCTCCCCACTGTCTTGCTGGGTTTTAGGAACCCAGCGGTCTACCTATTCATGTGGGCATCACTCTTTCGACCCCATCGTTGTTGCAGAGCAAATATCTATTAATTGCCCTGCAGCATACCTCACGGGCCTCCTCCACTGAGGCCAATCTTGACACTCCCGGCACCAGTCATCAGCAGGTCTGACCACCTCCACATCCTTTAATCTCTTCTTTAGCCAATGCCATGCCTGTTCAGCCCCTACTATCTGGACAAACAAAAGATGCTTGAGCATGCAGTGTCTGGGAATGTGGGATTCATGACCGAACCAATGCAGCCTCGCCTGCCAAAGAGACTCAAGATTATATTCTAAATTGATATCTTAAGGATCTGTAAGCTTATAATACAATATAGTCTGGTTAAATAGAGAATGAATCATAGGCAGGCTAGCCTTCAATGTATAAGCCAGCAGAGATGGTAATTTAAATAAGTTCATATTCTGAATCCACAGAGTAATATCTGTGGCCAAGAAGAATCACAGCTTTGTTCGTTAGTATCTAAAAAATGCTTGTCCTGGTGAGGGTCGCGGTGGCAGCATGCTGAGTAGGGCGGTCCAGGCCTCCCTTTCCCTGGCAACAGACTCTAGCTCAATCTCGGGAATTCCCAAGTGTTCCCAGGCCAGCTGAGCTACATAGTAATGCCAGCATGTCCTGGGCCAGCCCCGGGGTCATCACCCAGTGGGACGTGTCTGGTAGAGTTCCAGGGGGAGTCTATTGGGGGGCATCCTTACATATATTCTATATTGATATCACCCCTAGAGCCAGACCCAGGGGTTGTGTTCGCCAACAAGCGCCTCGTGGCTGTGTGGCCCACGTAACTCAGTGGCTACGTGGTGCCATCCTGTGCGTCGAACATCCGCAGGATGAAGGGTGAGGGGCGGGTGCCATGCCAGTATGGCAGGGAGATGGATGGTCTCAAGACAGACTAGACCTTGGAGGTGGACACTCACAGCTTTGTATGGAGCAAAAGTACAGGCATCTTCCACACAGTGTTACAGTCTAATGAAAGAATGCTGCTCGACAAATTTGAAGTGAGACTTTGGCTGCCAAACCAGGGCTGGTCGTGAACACATTAACTAGGTATGGGAGCTCCTCCAACACTTGTAGAACTGCCTGATTATTCATGAAGAGTTGAGGAGGTGCAGTGTTGTATGACATGACATTCCCAGGCAGGTGATTTATTTATGTGGAACATTTGCAAGGTCCCATTCCATGATGGAATTATCAAGGCACAGAACAAGATTCCCTAATTCCATCTCATTGAGTAGCCATTAGCAAATAATCAGATGTAACATGGTTGACCAGCAGGAAACGATCCTTTAACTAAAACCAGGCATCGATTAGCGTATAATTGTAACCGTAACGAATGTAATTGTTTTTATATGACCATTGGGAGCTTCTCAAACTACATAGTTATTGAAGATGCTATGTAATGCATGGGGCCAGCATGAATTTCTGTCACAAGCCAAGTTAAACAGGCAATGGCTCTGACTCCTGGTCACGCAGCTTTAGACGGGGCTGCCCAAAATCGTACAAATCCTCAGTAAATGAGAGCAGAGGCATATATTTGAAAACAAATAACAACCCAATGCCCCAAGCCTCTTTGTGGAACCATAAGCCTTAATTAAATCAAGAAAGCAGAGAACTATTTTCTGCTGAAAATCCATATTCTGCTGTAATCGATGGACAGAAAATACAGCAGTTCCTTGCATATCGCGGAAGATACGTTCTTGGAAATTGCAAAAGCTAAAAGCACGATATTCAATACTTAAGCCTTACCTAAGTAATGGCGTTTGGCAAACGTCAACTAAAATTCACATCACAATTGAAATAAGTACTGTACTGTATTCCCAATAAACTAAACAATTTAAATAAACACGGAGAAACAAAATAGTATAAATCTTAAAATGATAAAGCAGACTTTGCGCCAATACACCTCAAACTTTCCATGCATACTCACGGGTGAGTTCGTGTCTTTTTCACACTATTTTTAGCTTACCTGCTCACCTTCAACACCTGTAGTACCACCTGCATCACCTACCCCCCTCTCTCTCTTGCCATGTGTTAAAGCTTGGGGCATTCTCACAACTTCTGGTTTGCCACACATGCAAGCACATAATGACATTTCATTTTCTACAATTCCACGCACTCACCATAACATAAGTGTCTCCACTGCACTGCTATATTTGTTCTCATATTTACCACATCCTTCCCTATTATCAGCCCTGCGTTTTTGCCGCCAAATTCATCCACTTCGGGCTTACTATCCTCTGCATGTGCACGGCTCACCTATAATACACACTGCAATATTTATTTAAAAAAAACATGTACTATTCTAAAATATTTACATCTATGTACCAGGACTACCGTTCTCCTTCTACACAACATAGATGCTATAGAACAGCTACGACTAAATACGTCAAGTCTACATCGCCTGGTAAGAAATAAAAAGTATGCAAATACATGCACTCGCGTTAAAATAATTATATATTTACACACACCACCACAGACATACTATTAATACCCACAACAAGCACTACAATTACTTTGTTCCTTTGTGGCTATGTCTTCACATTCCTACAATTACACATTCAACTATCATTTCCTTAATCTCTATATAGCACTCACACAATATTTACTCTTATTATGCTTATTAACTTTGACCTCCATCGATAATGTCCCTCACAGAAAAAGTGTGCTTCTCTTCACCAAAGCCGATTACAATAATTTATGCCATTCGTACAAGTGCTGCAATGGCTGCACCTAGAGCGAATGAAACTGCTTAACACAAAATGAGACAGCATGCTGCCTGGGATGCACCTACAGCGAATTAATTTCCTGAACACTAAGAAGCAATGGAGCATGCTGCCAGTAATGTGATATTTGCAACTACAGCTTATGAAACTCCAGTACAGCAAGACGTTGGATGGCATGCTGCCAGTGCTGCTATGCCTGCACCTACAGCGAATGAAAATCCTCAACAGCAATGAGCTACACAGCAAAATATAGGCCTGTTTGTCTTGAGAGACAATTCTCTAGCGCCTTACGAGGTCAGCTGTAGGCTTTGCAGCGCCTAGAATGACTTAGTAGGCAAATCCTTGAGTTACAGTCCATGACACAGCAATTGCAAGTGACTGCGGTGGCAGCTCCAGAGGTATTTACTGCTTTTTCTTTACGTCGCTCACTCTTGGTCTGCCAAGCAGTGTGTATTTTCTCCTCGCCTCTGCTGAGGCCTGTTTTCACAGCCTGCTGCCAGCTGTGTCGGTCGCCGGCAGTTTTCTCCCAGTCATTTGGGTTGATGTCGCGGTTCTTCACGTCCCGTTTACAGACATCTTTGAAGCGCAGGACTGGGCGACCAGTGGCCCGTGTGCCTGACGCCAGCTCGCCGTACAAGACATCCTTTGGTATTCTTCCCTCCTGTATGCGGCGCACGTGTCCAAGCCATCTCAGGCAGCTATGACTGAGTAGAGAGTACAAGCTGGGAATGTTGGCCAAGTTGAGGACTGAGGTGTTGGGAATGCGATCTTGCCATCTGATACTGAGGATGCACCCGAGACATCGGAGGTGGAATGTGTTTAGTCGATGTTCTTGATGGGCATATGTTGTCCAGGACTCAGACCCATAGAGGAGGGTGCTTAGGACACAGGCCCGGTACACCTGTACTTTGGTGTTGAGCATTAGGGATTTGTTCTCCCACACTCTTTTGGTCAACTTGAACATACGTAGAATGAGAATAAAATAATAAATTGATAAAATAAAATAACACAATAATATTCTCACGACGTTTCGGCCACAACACAAGCGGCCTTCATCAGGTGAAGGGAGCGAGACTGTCCAGCGCTGTCCTACCAGACAGTCTCGCTCCCTTCACCTGATGAAGGCCGCTTGTGTTGTGGCCGAAACGTCGTGAGAATATTATTGTGTTATTTTATTTTATCAATTTATTATTTTATTCTCATTCTACGTGACTTTACCGAAAGAACCAAAGAAGATGAATCATTGCAGTCACGAAAGCTTTAAATCGAAATTTAACTTGAACATAGCTGTAAACGCCTTCCCAATACGCTTGTCAAAATCTGTGACAAGGGACAAATTGCAGGTGATGGTGGAACCCAAGTAAGTGAAATCCTGAACGACTTCCAGGGTGTAGCTGCCAATGTTTATGGAAGGGGTGTCTCTGACATCCTGGCCCATGACATTGGTCTTTTTCAGACTGATTGTCAGGCCACAGTTATTGCAGGCATTGGCAAGGTGGTCGATGAGTGTCTGCAGACCTTGTTCTGTGTGAGTTGTCAGCACGCCATCATCAGCAAATAGGAGTTCTCTGATGAGGACTTTGCGGACTTTGGTTTTGGATCTGAGACGGCCAAGGTTGAAGAGTTTGCCATCAAAGGCATGTGTGAGCATAAGTGAGAAAAATATGCCAGTGTTGGGACAAGCACGCATCCCTGCTTTACATCGCTGAGTATGGTAAATTCCTTTGAGGTGGTGCCGCTGTGCTGTATTGTTCCTTTAATGTTGTCATGGAAAGAGAAGATGACTGCCAGCAGCTTCGGTGGGCAACCGATCACTTCGAGGAGTTTGAAGAGGCCTCCCCTACTGACAAGATCAAAGGCTTTTGTAAGATCAATGAATGCCAAGCACAGGGGCATTCTCTGTTCTTGACATTTCTAAAGTAGCTGACGCAAGGAGAAGCGCAAGTCAATTGTGGACCTTCCTGCTCTGACACGACACTGAGCCTCAGGATACGTCCTCTCAGCTAGTATCTGTAATTTGCTGACCACACGGGCAAAGGTTTTCCCCACGATGCTCAGCAGGGAGATGCCGCGGTAGTTATTGCAGTCCCCGCGGTCACCCTTGTTTTTATATAGGGTGATGATGTTGGAGTCTCTCATGTCTTGAGGCATTGCGCCTTCTTCCCAGCACTGGCAGATAAGTTCATAGAGTTTTGTGAGGATGGCGGGTTTCGCACATTTCAGTACCTCAGGTGTGATGCCGTCCTTTCCCGGGGACTTGCCGCTGGCTAGTGAGTTGATGGCGTTGCCAAGTTCCTTCAAGGCTCGAATATTGTCCAGTTCGTGTGTCGTTGGTAGGAGCTTTACAGCAGCAAGGGTTTGCCTCCGGATCCTCCTGTTTTTCCCTCCACATTCAGTGTCAAAATGACCACGTGTTTAGAGTATTTGACCAATATACATTTCCACACGTTGATAAGCCACTTTGTTGTGGGCAGGTCACGTCTGAAAAAGAGCGGTATAGCTCAAGTGGGCTTGGCCTTCGTAAGATTAAAAACTCTAGAAATATTTAAAAGAAACAAAGTTTCAAAGTAGTGAGATAGGTGATGACATATTAAACTTAAGCAGATAATTAAAGCAAATGCAATCATTTCGATTTAAAGCTTTCGTGACTGCAAGGATTCATCTTCTTTGGTTCTTTCGGTAAAGTCACGTAGAATGAGAATAAAACAATAAAATAAAATAAGACAATAAAATTCTCACGACGTTTCGGCCACAACACAAGCGGCCTTCCTCAGGTGAAGAAACAGGTCTATCCAGGAGACAGAGTCCGAGTGGACCCCGTCACGCCAGAACTGAGTCTTATTAAGGCTGTGTGGGCGGAGTTGGATTAGCATGTTACCAGCCCCCACCCGGGGCGGAGGAGGAAGGGGGGCTGGTGGAAACAAACACTAATTAATCCAAAATAAGTGCCGCAGCCAAGGCGCGCCGCCGTGTACCGAGCTGCACCATGACATGCATAAGGACCACTATGCAATACAATATCATACCTTCAAATCCAAACTACATGTTATAACACAGACAAATTCACCTTTGAATTATACAATGCGTTACTTTGGTTTAACACGTAGGCTTTCGCGACCAATATTATTCATAATAAAGGTTTTTGGGTTAGATCGCGTTTATTTATAAATGTGTCGTAACCCTCCACCACCCGACACGGCCAATCAGCAAAGAAAAGTGTCACGTTGACAAAAGACAAATAATTCACTACTTCAGCCCACCGGTGTGTTGAAGAGTTAATCCACATTTACAGTTTGAGTACGACGTTTCGCTGGTAAATACTTCCAGCATCATCAGGCAATTCGCCAGAATGGTAAAGCCCTCGCTTGCTCCCGGTTTTATATAGAGCAGAAGAGTGACGTCATCACTTAACTCATCAGGTGCAGTGATTAGAGGCGGAGGGGGGGGTAATGTAATTATATAATCGATTAGTAATCAGTCATTGGTTATGATTAGTAATGAGTTGTAGATTAGTAATTCTTTAAATCAAAATGTAATGTGTATTATTTAATAATACGCTTCCAGGCCGCACTAAGCCGGTAGCTGTCAGAGCGATTAAAGTTATTCTTGTTCCTCTCAATTTCAATGGATTCTCTAATTAGTCTTTGCCAGTAATAATTAGTTTTACACACCACTGCAACATTGTCAAAATCAATTGAGTGTCCTTGTTGACAAGCATGTTCTGCCACTGCCGACAGTTGTGTTTGAGATAATTTAATATTTCTCTGATGTTCTTTTAGTCTTACGCTGATGTTACGTCCCGTCTGCCCAATGTAGCAGCTGCCACATGATCAATTAATCCGATATACACCTTCTGTTGATAGTTTAGGTAATGTGTCTTTAGTGCAAGATACTAGTTTTTGAATTTTGTGTACTGTACCAAATCTTACTGTAATGTTTTGCTTTTGCAAAACGTGGGCTAATTTGTCAGTTACTCCTGAGATATATGGAATTTTTATTGTTTTAACAATCTGGTCGCTTTCAGTAGTATTGCTTTGCGATCGTGATTTGGCATTCAGTGCTCTGTTAATTTGAGCATTATTGTAGCCATTCTGTCGTAGTGCGTCTTTAACGTGTTTAATCTCTCTCACTAGACTCTCACCATCTGACACTGTTTTCGCCCGATGTACGAGCGTCTTGATAAGAGAGGATTTTTGAGCTGGATGATGATGTGATTCTGCATTCAGATAGGCATCAGTGTGCGTTTGCTTTCTGTAAACGCTGTGTGTTATTTTACCGTTTAGGCCATGTCCAAGCAAAATATCTAGGAATGGGAGTGTGTTATTCACCTCCATTTCCATGGTGAACTGGATGGCCGGGTTTTGTGCATTGAGATGATTTAGAAAATCATTAAGTGTATCTTTACCATGTGGCCAGACAACCAAAGTGTCATCCACATACCTAAACTAAAAGGATGGTTTTAATGTGCTCGAGGCAAGTGCTCTTATTTCAAAGTTTTCCATGTACAAATTTGCTATAGCAGGGGATAAAGGAGAACCCATTGCTGCTCCTTCCTTTTGTTTAAAGAAATCCCCTCTCCATAAGAAGTAAGTGTTATTTAAACAATGGCCAGCAAGTTTCGGAATATCTTTTTGTAAACCGGTATTCTTTACTAGTGTATCAAGTAATTTAAGCGATTCGTCCACTGGAACCTTAGTGAATAGAGAAATCACATCAAAGCTTACCAGAATATCATCAGGAGTAAGTTTAATATCTTTAATCACATTCACAAGATGTTCTGAATTTTTTATGAATGAAGATGTCTTACCGATGTAGGGCTGTATTTGTTTGGTTATATATTTTGCTAATTGATATGTGGCAGAGCCAATTGTACTGACTATGGGTCGTAATGGGATGCCGATTTTATGAATCTTTGGTAGCCCATAGAGTCTAGGTGGTTTTGAGGCCCTTGGCTTAATTAGGTATTGCTCATTTTTAGGGATTAATTAATTTGCAATTATTGCAGTGGTCTTACGTTCTAAAGTATTAGTTGGATCTCGTTTAATTTTAATGTAGGTACTTTCCTCTAGTAAATTTCTAATTTTATTATCATAATCGGCTCGTGACATCACTACAGTAGTGCGGCCTTTATCAGCTGCTAGGATTTGGATATCCTTATTTACACGCAGCTCTCTTAAGGCTTTTGCCTCGTTAGAGCTAATATTTACTTTTGGAACTTTGCTATTCTCAATTATTTTAGCAACCTCATGTCTAGTCATCTCTGCCTCATTATGTGGAAGGAGTCTAACTGCTGATTCTACCTCAGCAATTATCTCATCCACTGGAATTGTGCGTGGGGTAACGGCAAAGTTAAGGCCTTTAGAAAGGATAGAGACCATGTCACCGGTTAATACAGTGTTGGTCAAGTTCAGTACAGTTTTGTTTTTACATTTTTGGTTTTCAGTAGGGATTTGTTTATTATGTAGTCTAGAAAATTTATTAATTTGGTTAGTTTTTGTTAGTTTAAACACATTATCAGCCGATTGTTGTGTTATGTTATCGATTATATTCCAATAATGCATAGATACACTATTGCTTATATCTAAGTGTAACTGCTTTAGCGATTCCGAAATGTAAGATAATTCACTCCTATTGTGCTGTATTCTCTCTATTAATAATAATTCGCTAGCTTTGTGTAGTATTTGGTTAGCTTTAGAAGACTTTATGTGATGTGTTATTTTAACTGCGTTTGGTATTACCTTTGAATCTCTGCACCTTTTGAGGAACGCCAGTGAAGATATCAATTTCATCCGCTTAATGCGAAGCTTCTCCAATTTTCTGGTTTTAAGAAAAGTATCCTCCCCATAGAGGTTAGTCAGTTTAACACGTAGGCTTTCGCGACCAATATTATTCATAATAAAGGTTTTTGGGTTAGATCGCATTTATTTATAAATGTGTCGTAACCCTCCACCACCCGACACGGCCAATCAGCAAAGAAAAGTGTCACGTTGACAAAAGACAAATAATTCACTACTTCAGCCCACCGGTGTGTTGAAGAGTTAATCCACATTTACAGTTTGAGTACGACGTTTCGCTGGTAAATACTTCCAGCATCATCGGGCAATTCGCCAGAATGGTAAAGCCCTCGCTTGCTCCCGGTTTTATATAGAGCAGAAGAGTGACGTCATCACTTAACTCATCAGGTGCAGTGATTAGAGGCGGAGGGGGGGGTAATGTAATTATATAATCGATTAGTAATCAGTCATTGGTTATGATTAGTAATGAGTTGTAGATTAGTAATTCTTTAAATCAAAATGTAATGTGTATTATTTAATAATACGCTTCCAGGCCGCACTAAGCCGGTAGCTGTCAGAGCGATTAAAGTTATTCTTGTTCCTCTCAATTTCAATGGATTCTCTAATTAGTCTTTGCCAGTAATAATTAGTTTTACACACCACTGCAACATTGTCAAAATCAATTGAGTGTCCTTGTTGACAAGCATGTTCTGCCACTGCCGACAGTTGTGTTTGAGATAATTTAATATTTCTCTGATGTTCTTTTAGTCTTACGCTGATGTTACGTCCCGTCTGCCCAATGTAGCAGCTGCCACATGAACAATTAATCCGATATACACCTTCTGTTGATAGTTTAGGTAATGCGTCTTTAGTGCAAGATACTAGTTTTTGAATTTTGTGTACTGTACCAAATCTTACTGTAATGTTTTGCTTTTGCAAAACGCGGGCTAATTTGTCAGTTACTCCTGAGATATATGGAATTTTTTATTGTTTTAACAATCTGGTCGCTTTCAGTAGTATTGCTTTGCGATCGTGATTTGGCATTCAGTGCTCTGTTAATTTGAGCATTATTGTAGCCATTCTGTCGTAGTGCGTCTTTAACGTGTTTAATCTCTCTCACTAGACTCTCACCATCTGACACTGTTTTCGCCCGATGTACGAGCGTCTTGATTACTAATCGATTATATAATTACATTACCCCCCCCTCCGCCTCTAATCACTGCACTTGATGAGTTAAGTGATGACGTCACTCTTCTGCTCTATATAAAACCGGGAGCAAGCGAGGGCTTTACCATTCTGGCGAATTGCCCGATGATGCTGATTGGCCGTGTCGGGTGGTGGAGGGTTACGACACATTTATAAATAAACGCGATCTAACCCAAAAACCTTTATTATGAATGCGTTACTTTATACTACCCTATACTTTAGACAATAAAAAAATATTAGACATTGTAACATTATACTTTGTCTTATCTATGAATCCAACTATATACCACACTAATGTATATTCACTATGCAATTACGATGCTATAGCTTGCCTTATGAGTTAAGTTACACATTACAATGTTATACTACTAAGATTCGTAGCGTCTTTTAATCTGGGTAAGAGAAGTGAGGCACCTTGAAAAAGGAGTTCACAAATCAAACAGGAGAATTTAACATTGAAACAGCGGAGGGATTAGCTTGTGACTGGTTACAGAAATAGCTATGTTAAAGTCAAAGTTTACACATCCACAGAGGCACCTAGTACATGGACGCCAAAGGGGCTGCACTACCCAACTATCATACAGTCTGAAGGTCACCGTAAAATACAATTAATTAAGAACATCTTTCCAATGGTTACTAAGCCAGAATCCATCTTCTCGGTTGAAATTGTCTCTGTGCTTGTATATGTGGATGGCCTCATGAACGAATATCTCATGGTCGCCGGTTGACTTCTCCAAGACGGAGGTTCTTTGCAAGCCAACCGGCTCAATACTCTGATAGTGCGCTGTTTTTGAGTTGTACGCCTTTTGGCGTCTTCTGGTCCAACACCAATGGAGACTAGGCTCTAAGAAAAGCCGTCTCGGGTGTGGACCAATCAAATTCAAGGACAGTGCATATTATTATCAGAGTTGTCTTTTTTGTTTGCATTTTGACTGCTTGTGTTGTGGTTATTGCAAACATGATGCCTTGAATAAAGGTGTCAGTTTTTGTGCCAGTTAAAAGGGTAAAACATATTCCTACACTACGACTCTTGGTAGTATAACATTGTAATGTGTAACTTTACTCATAAGGCAAGATGTAGCATCGTAATTGCATAGTGAATATACATTAGTGTGGCATTTAGTTGGATTCATAGATAAGACATAATAAATGTTACAATGTCTAATATTTTTTTTATTGTCTAATGTATAGGGTATTCTAGATTTAAAGCTTTCGTGACTGCAAGGATCCATAATCTTTGGTTCTATTCGAATAGAACCAATGAGTAAGTATAGGGTAGTAGAGGGTAGTATAAAGTAACGCATTGTATAATTCAAAGGTGAATTTGTCTACGTTATAACATGCAGTTTGGATTTGAAGGTATGGTATTTTATTGCAAAAAGGTCCCTATGCATGTCATGGTGCAGCTCGGTACACGGCGGCGCACCTTGGCTGCGGAACTTGATTTTGTATTAATTAGTGTTTGTTTCCACCAGCTCTCTCCCTTCCTCCTCCGCTGGTAACATGCTAATCCAACTCCACCCACACAGCCTTAATAAGACTCAGTCGTGTGGCGTGACGGGGTCCACTCGGGCTCTTGTCTCCTGGATAGACTCTGTTTCTTCACCTGAGGAAGGGCGCTTGTGTTGTGGCCGAAACGTCGTGAGAATTTTATTGTCTTATTTTATTTTGTTTTATTCTCATTCTACGTGACTTTACCGAAAGAACCACAGAAGACAAATGCAGTCAGGCGAGGGCAGGAGGCAAGGCCCCGCAAGGCAAGGCCCCGCGTTGTAATGTTCCAACCTGGACGTCGATTCAATACTCGCTGCTACTCGATTGATATCCCTACGAGAGAGAGAAGGAGCGAGGCTCTACCTGGGTAAACAACAACAACCACCACCACAACAACCACGATGTGAACTTCTCACCTCGGATCTCAGTGAGCGCAGGCGCGCAGATCGGCAGCTTCCTGGTATATCGTGACGTCACGCGGCAGCAGGAGGTGACATGACGTCACGTGCAGGGTGCAACACACTCCCCTACCCAATGTGCGGCGGTGTAACTTAATAAATTATATTCTTAGTTTTTTCGGTAAAGTCACGTTGAAGAGAAACAACAAAATAACAAAATATATATAAAACAATAAAAAATTCTCACGACGTTTCGACCATAACTCAAACGGTCATCATCAGGTGTGTCGGTTTGCATAAATTTATTTTGAAAACGGAATATTTATTTATTTATATATAAAAATAACGTTTGCGTCACGCGCAACGATTGGCTGTTTGCCAGGACTAGTCCATCTATTTTTTGAAAAGAGGAGGGGGGAGACGAAATTTGTTTTTATGTATGCTGTCTGAAAGCCACTGTAAGCGTGAACAATCAATCAAGAACTGAAATGATTTATCAAATCTTTCCAATGATTGCTAAGATAGAATCCATCTTCTCGGTTGAAATTGTCTCTGTGTTTGTATATGTGGATAGCCTCATGAACGAATCTCTCATGGAAGCCAGATGGCTTACAAAGAACCTCCGTCTTGGAAAAGTCAATGGCATGTGAGCCTACTGAATTAGAACAATGATCTGCTACGGCCGAGGTGTTGGTCCTACCGTGTTTAAGGTCTGCTTTATGTTCACGAATGCGGTCCGAGATATGGCGTTTGGTTTCTCCAATGTAACTACTACCACAGAGGCAACTTAGTTTGTAGACACCAGGGTATTGTATGTCCGGAATCACATCTTTTACAGACGGAACCAGATCACGGATTTTATGTAATGTGTTGAAACGGACCTGGATCTTGTGTTTATTCAAGATTTTGGAGATCTTTTTTGTGATCCCAGCAATGTAGGGTAAAGTGATGGTTTTGAAAGGCTCCTCAAGAGGGTTCTTCTTCATGGTTTGAGTGATAGCTTTGCGGATTGTATAGTCGGAGTAACCATTAGCCCTAAGAGCTTGGTGTACGTGCTTGAGTTCACTGCTTATGTGTTCCTGGTCGGATATGCATTGGGCTCTATGATACAGAGTCTTGATGAGAGAATTCTTCTGTGATGGATGGTGGTGGGAATCCGGTTTCAGATAAGCATCCGTATGGGTAGCTTTCCTGTAGACAGAGTGGCTCATTGAACCATCAGGTCTCTTTTTAATTAGTACATCCAAAAAAGGTATCTTGCCATCTATTTCGACTTCCATGGTAAATCTGATGGCTGGGTGTATGGAATTGATGTGGTCGAAGAATTGGTCTAGAGCAGGCCGGCCATGTGGCCAGATGACAAAAGTGTCATCCACGTACCTCTTCCATAAGGTTGGGCGCAGAGTGGCAGTCTGGATGGCGTCAGTCTCAAATTTCTCCATGAAAATGTTAGCTATAACTGGAGAAAGGGGGGAGCCCATTGGGGTGCCCTCAGTTTGTTTGTAGAAAGTTCCATTCCAAGTGAAGTATGTATTGGTTAAACAGTGTCTCACCAGGGGGGGTACCTCAGTGTTTAGTCCTTGATGAACCAAGTCTTCAATGATTGCAATGGTGTCAGGTACAGGAACCTTGGTGAATAAGGAAACTACATCAAAACTGACAAGCAGGTCGTCTGGGGACAGGGAAATACCCTTGATTGTTGATACCAGGTGAGTAGAATTTTGTACCGCAGAGGTGGTCTTTCCAGTGAAAGGACGCAGGATTTCAGACAAAAAACGAGCTAGTTTGTAGGTGGGGGAGCTGATAGTAGAGACTATGGGACGAAGAGGTGTATCAACTTTATGTTTGAGTTATGGTCGAAACGTCGTGAGAATTTTTTATTGTTTTATATATATTTTGTTATTTTGTTGTTTCTCTTCAACGTGACTTTACCGAAAAAACTAAGAATATGAATTACTGCAGTCACAAAAGCTTTAAATCAAAATTTAATAAATTATGTTAATGAATTAGGCCCACATGTGAGTGAACTCGCGGTGGAGGGGGGTTGGGGGGGGGTGAAAACCTTGGTGACATGACGTCACTAGCGGGTTACACCTCCCCCTCGCGTCTCACGCCGATGAGGTAATGCGGAGTTGTGACGTCAGAGAGCGGGGTTCCTATTCCATTGCTCCCTCTCTTGAACATGGACCCCTTGGGTGCGTGAGCTCAACAACAACGTGAACATTATTGTGTGTGTCCACTGTGTATACACTGCGTGTACTGTGTACAAACTGTGTATACACTGTGTGTAATGTGTGTGTGTATACAAACTGTGATGATCCCCACAATGTTCATGTTTTTGTTTGTTGCGGTTGCACCTGATTCAAGAGCCGAATGGCGCACAGGGCTATACCAAATAAATGAAACTGAAACTGAAAAATGAACCACGATTTCCTGTCGGGGCTCCCCCTTATTTCCCTGGCTGTGGTCTCGCTCCGCCCTCGGCCAACCCCCCTGCTGTATCAAGTCAGGAGCTCTTGGCTCCCTGTCACGTGTCCCTCAAGCCTCCTAGGGAGGTTCCTAGCACTCAGAAACACTCCTAAAATAGTGGCTGGTGCTAACACTATCGTGACAGTATTTGTGTCACTACACTCGTACGGAGCCTTCTCTTCACGAGTCCCGGGCACATGTCTAATTCATGGAAATATAACTTCCAAAATACGTTCAGTAAAATAGCACAATTACCCTACTGAGTGAAATTGTCTAAAAGGCTGAGCAGGTGGCTTTGGTGATACTTGTGGTGTGCGCCCATTGGCCAGTTGATCCCATGGAGGGACTGGAAAAGGCTATACGAGGGACCAGCACTTGTGAAATTGAGTCTAGACAGATTTGTATTCAGGAGTGTGAGACAATGCGGTTGTATAGCATTCAGGTTATTCACAGGCTTCACTCATTACATGAATGCATACGGGCTTGGCATCATCCAATCAGAGAAGAGCTTGCTGTACATGTTAAGTATTTTGAGTGCAGAAGTGTAATAGTTGGAATGCAAAGTATTTTGCTGCCTTTACAAATGTATATTTAGGATCGTGTTTTAATGGTTACATATGAAATTATTCTTATTTATAAATGTCATTTTTCGTCTGCCTGTCTGTGTGTGTGTTCACGCGCTTGCAAGGGATTTGGCTCTCAAACGGTAGGGTTTACGTAAACATTTTTTTGTCAGGTACCACACCATAAGTCAGTCATGTGCATCCGGTGGGGGGGGCGGACCCTGCCAAGTGATATGCGTTCCGTGGGGCTGGGCGGGAAATTTTCATGCAATAAATATACACATAACACTGCAGGTATTTCTTCACAGTGTGATGTCCTCTTTTGCCCCCCCCCCCGCAACACGATGCATGCAGTTTATACTACAGAGTCTGTAGATAATTAAAATATAGTGCTTAGATAGCATTATTGTTGCACGGCCAGGGGCTGGTGGGGGGGGGTGTATACAGCCCTTTTTTCACAATTAATATCAATAATAATATTTGCCGATATATGTTTTTTTAATAGTAACCGAAATAAAAAAATAACACCCGCTACGACAAGGACCAGCAAACAGCAGCTGGAGATCGTAAAAAAGCCATTAAAAATAAATAATAAACTCCGGGGCAAAGGAAGGTTCGCGACTATCTGCAGAATCTCCAGATTGCCAAAGTACGATTTTCACAAACAAACCTACTTGATGTAACACGGCCGCCGGGGTCACCAAGAGGGAAGGGGGAATTCGAGACTTCAAGGACCCCCCCCTCCGTCAGCCCGCAGACATAGTGACGCCAGCATTCAGGCAAGTTAAACAGTTTTCCTCTTACTTGCTATTAAAACAACGGTTAAAGTTCAAAATTCAACAACAAAAGTAAGCTAACATTATCGATCCCCACACTCACTCCAATTAAAAACCAGGCCACAATCTACATCAGTGAATCATTACCCATTTATTAATTCGATACTAAATGTCATTTTCACTTTTAATAATTTTCTACACGACCTGACCGAAGCATCAAGAATAATCCTGTCAGTCCGAGTTATGCCTAAGTCAAAAGCGAATTCTCTAACCTCAGGACATCAGGTATAAAATAAAGTAAATTATGACTCAGGCATGATAGCGCGGACCCCCCGGATACAGGCAGAGCAAAAGTTAATACAATGTCAAATCACAAATCTTGGGGAACATTAACAACAATAATGATGCAGTGTTAAATCCAGGGTTACCCAGAAGGGATGAGACAAACGGGTCAAGCTTACGAAACCAGGATAAACTGTGTTCCAGAGAGACCCCGGCCGCCTTTGTCTTCCTGCAGCGCAGGAGAGCAGGAGTTAACATCAGAGCCAAGGAATTATCGCAGGGGCCATCTGCGCCCACGGAAGAGCGATGACTTAATAAACAACACACACACACACACCAGACAGACGGCAACACCCCTGCACAAGCAGAGAGGGATCAAAGGGGAAGGGGGCGGGAAGGAACTCCCTAAAGCTCCGCAGCTGCCAGTGAAACCAAGCAACAAGTTTTAGTTAAAGAAAAAATTACAATACATAATGTCACACATAACATTAATGCTAACGCTATTCACCTTAAATTGCGATATACCTTGGCCGCTACCCGACCTTGCAAACACCAAGGAGTACGAATTCCAACCATCGAGAGGCTTACCTCTTGGCTCAGGATATCGGAAATAAAATGATATCAATGATACAGCATACACACGGAATGACGAAAATTAATAAATCCTGAGGAAGGGTCAGGATGACGGGGTAAATCACAAACCTTGTTAAACATAAAACCAAATGATATTTGAGCGACGTTAAACCGAGGGCTAGCCAGAGAGAGAAAGAGAACCTCCCGGTCGCCTTTGTCTTCCCGCAGCACGTGATAAGAATATGCATACGCTCAAAAGAGCATCTTCCCTTGAGAATAAATCAAACACCACGATGGAAAAACTACCACAACAGACCTTGAGTCACATACAGAATCGTAACTGCGAGTGATATGGTACCAATATCATAGAATAAATGTTAACTTTAAAAGCCTTAACCCACCTTTTGTGCGTCGGAAAAGGTCATGC